TCTCTGGCTGCTTTCAGACTGTGAGGTCTTTGAGGCAGAGGGTGCTGTACTGTCTTCAGCACATGCTGCGGCTGCTGGGACCTAGCCCAGTCTTACAAGTGTCATGAGTATCAGACAGCAGTATGCTTTAGAGAAGGAGGTGAAGAGCAGTTTTTCTCTTTCCGTCTGGTAAATGCCATTTCTCAAAGGTGGTTGCACAGAAAGTAAGATGGCAGTACGTTGTATTCTAATTAGCTACCCTGAGGTCACTCCTAGGAAGAGGTGGGCTTCTTAAGCACAATAAAGGATAACTTTTCTCGTGCCTATCGCCAAGTCTCCAGCTTTTGAGGTCTCAGCACAGTTCTGGGATGCTGGCCCTTGGAAATATTTTCTGGCTATGGGCTTTGAAAGGCCGTGCAGCTTCTGGCAACAGAAGGCAGAACTGCTGCTAGGAGCACCTTCTCAGGATGTTCTGCAGCCTAAAATGGAACATCATCCCAGCTAAGGTCTCTCACTGAGACTTGTCTTGCTACAGTAACTGTCCAAAAGGTGGTAATTCATAGCAGGCCAGTTTCCAGGTCAAGAAGCCAATTTCATTCAGCCTTTTAGGCTTAGTAGCACTCCAGCTGCATGGATGGAGCTGAACTGATAGCACATCTTTTTCTCCAGCCTTCTGTGCCTTCACCTATCCAGTGTTTGCTGTTAATGTGGTTTCATATTCTGATTATTGTCTGAGCTGCTTTATATTTCTGGGACTCTCAGAAGAAAGGAGGTTGCTTTTCTTGTTATGTGGCTGACAGAGACATGTTCAAGCCCTGTGTGTCTTATGCTGAGCAAAGGGTATTGCAGTTTATTTTAAGAGGAAGATACCACGACGAGAAATCCCACACATTAAAGTTAAGATGTAGATGCTCCATTTGCAGGAATTTCCTAATCCAGTCCAACAACTGGTAATTAATGTTTCAAAGCTTCTTTCAAGCACTCTGGGAGCTGTGTGTTTATTTACCTGTTTCTGACAAATGAAATCTCTGTGTCATTTAATTGGAAAGACCCCTAAGAGAGATATTTTGTCTTCCTGGAAATCTAAACCTAGGGATGATATTTCTTTCTTTGGTATAAAGGTTTCATTTCAAAGAAGTTTTGCGTTATTCAGACTGTGTCAGAGCTCACATTACATTTTGTGTTGGCTTTTAAGATCTCTAGTGCAGCATAATACAGTTACTTCTCTGATTTCTTTGCCTGCTTCCACTCATCATTCATTTGGCCTTGATGGTGTAATGATGGCATCAATTTTTAGGGAAAGGCCTATCAAAAATACAACAGACTAATAATTCTGTCAGTCTGTACCCTCACATTGGAGAAGCTAAGAGGATACATTTGCCTCGTCCACTGTGGTGTTTTAAATCTCTTCAGTCAGACTAAGAGAGAAATGGAGAGAGGGCACATAGAGATTGACTGTTCTCTGTCAGCGTTGCTTCTTGGAATAGGTAGCAGCTGTGCAGCTCCTGAAGAAGGGGTGGATGTAAATCTCCAGGGAGGTGTGGAGCTGTCAGAGAGGCACTAGATGGTTCCTAATAGATAAAGCACATCAGGCTGAGGAGTGTCTGACCCAGAACTGGTTGAGAGAAGGCATGAGAGGGAGGTACTGATACATGCTTGCCCTTTTTTTGCTCTTTTCTGGTAGACAGGTCTTGGCCAGATCCTATAGGGTCATTCTTAAGGAGAAGGGAAGGTTGAAGAGAAGAGGAATGAGTAAAAAGGGAAGGGAAAGGAGGGAAAAGAGCTAGTGTGCGTGGTGCAAATAAAGTCATTTAATCCTTCTGTCACAAGGTGGGTGGGTTGTGTTTCAGCTTCCGAGTGCTGTGCACCAGTAAGTGCTTAGTAGGAACTTCTGGTACTCAGTATCATAACCATGCTGAGGGTGCTCTGCGGAAGCTTTCGAAACTTGCTTGAAGATCTACTTTTCCATAAGCAGAAACACGTGTTCTTTCTGTCCTTGCAGGGTGTCACCCCTCCTGTAAAACCTGCACTGGTGGGGGTCCCTTCGCCTGCTCTTCCTGCAACACCAGCCTGGTTCTCTCCCACACCGGCATGTGCGTGCCAGTCTGCTCGCGGGGATACTACAGGGATGCCAGGCACACCTGCAGACGTGAGTGTGTCTCTCCAATCCATCTCTCCTTTCCACAGTGTATTCACTGACATGTCTTGTCTTGTTCCTTTGCTTATGGTTCCTCTTGCCAGGAAAAGAAAGATATGAGTTGACAGAGGTGATTAGCTGCCTTAGAAACAGAGCCTACAGCATGGTTTAAATTTGAACACAGTCACAGATTTGTTACCAACTTCAAAGACAAGAGGCTTTGGGTCCCATAGGAAAAATCTGCAGGAGAGTTTGTGTTGGCTTCCTTGTTAAGTTGCTTAAGTGGTACATAGAGAAGCAGCCAAAAGTATGGGTGGATTCTGAGTCTTGGGAAAAACTTGACAATTTTGGCTCAGTTTTAATCAATTCTTTCTAAGGCAAACCCCCTCCCCACTGCACTACCTGCCAGTACCTGCCATGGAAGCTGTATTAAGACTGTAGAGTTTACACTACATTTTTCCACATATGAAACCTCAGTAGAAAGAAGGTACAGCTTGGCAGGCACAACCCTAACTGAGCTGTGATATTGTTACCTCCTAATGATTTGATGTAACTGATCTGGTGTTAAGTCCAGTAATGTTTTATCCCACTCCTGCTATCCCTTGCGAGTCTCTCAGGTCATCTCTTTTCCTTTATTATTCTGTGTTCACTCTGACCCTGATGCCAGTCGAGTTATTCCTCACATAATTATAGGGTTTGATATTTTGAAATGCAAAATGATGTGGCCCAGAGACATAAAAAATAGGAAAATACCCTGCTTGAATTGACCCATTGTGATACACACACCTAAAAATGAGGGTGTGCTTAAGTAGCTGGATTGCTGTGAGCTTGAACGCTCAGATTTGTTAAGTCCTGCATTACCCTGATTTAAATTACCTGGATTTATGATAAAATAACTCTGTTGCACTGCCCTGAGTGTAGGTATCTGTGTCATCCTACCTAGACCCAATTTCTTTACTGATGAGGTCTTATAGGAAGAAACTGATATGGTTGTCAGCTTTACCTGCCTTTTGTTGGAATATATGGATCTCCTGAAACTATTATTTCCATCTTATCTGCAGAGGTGGAGATACCTTGCATAACTTCAGGGGAATAGGTGGAAGAGTTAGTACCATACATTCTTTCAGTGACAGAAAAAACGGCTACTCAATAATAATGAAAAAAAGGAAAGTAATAAAAACAAATAATAAAAAAAGGAATCATGGTATTTTCACTGTCCTGGCTAGTTTCTGACAAGTCCTACAAGGTATTCACTGTTCAGTCCTGCAGTTTGGATTCTTTTATTACTACCTGTAGCAGCATACCTTTCTTCCTAGTTAAAATGCCCTTTAATGAGCAATTTCCTATTGCTAGCTCTTTCCTTAGGACTTCATGGTACAAGTGGAATGTTCCCGAGTACTGTACCCTTCCCAAACTTGGTTCAGTAGCTCAAATACAAATAGACTTTTTGCAAGCCAATTCAACTACTCTAATCTCCGTATTGCAAAAGACTTTTGAGCAAGTGTGTGTAATCCTTGTGGCAGGAGGCTCAATGCAAAGTGTGTTGGTGCACTGGATTTTTGTCATTCCAAGTATCACTGGTGCCTTTTCAAGTGAAGTTCTGCTGATAAGCCATGTAGATATAAACTGTCCCTATATATATAAAGTGCTGGGAAAGTACCACTCAGAGGTAATGAAGATTGTTTAAACGGAGGTTGGCTGTTAGGCTGAGAAAATTTGGTCTCTCTTCAAGGTTTATTTTAGTCTCATTGCGCTTTTGAGGAACTCAGGTTTGAGTGAAGCTCAGGGGGACGCTGAGAGCGTGTATGGACTCTCAAAGATGTTTTTAAACTCAGTGACACCCTGGCTCAGGAACAGTGCAAAGCTTAACGGGTTCTTCATGGGTTTAAAAATGCAGATATGGAGTCAGGCTGATAAAACAAACAGACAAGATTGCTTTCAAATACACTTTTTGCTTACTGTTCTGGCATGGCTCCATGGGTAACCTGATTTCTATAGGTGCAGACCTCATATGGAATGTTGTACCATTCTTTTAAAAGGTGGCTTTTCACACCACTTACAAATAGTAAATTTTCCATGTAGTGTTAAGTTAAGTGGAATCAGACTGGCACCAGAGCACCTAAAAAGAGCTGCTAGATTCTTTAGGTAAATATTTTGTTAGAAATCATTTGTACCTCAGTAAAATACAGCCTTCTGTGACATGTTTTAGATGAGCTAAAACAAGTAACTATTTTGAAGGGCACTGGTCCTCGTTTCAATGAGACCAATGTGGGTATTTTCACATTTACTTTGGTATTTTGAGGTTTTGTGGTTACAAAACTCTGTCTTGAATTAAAAGCAAATTGAAGTGGATTTCCACAGTTAGCGCATCACTAAATTAGCATTCCATAATTAGCACCAGAACTGTAGTTGAGTGAAATCCTATGGTTTTGCCATTAAAAGTGGCCAGCTATGCTTTATTCTTTAGGTTGAACACTCAGGGCTGTGTTTTCAGAGCTCTTCTGATTTATCAAAAGTACAGAATTGAGGTTGGGCAAAGAGTCTGACTCCATATGGATTTAGCGATGCTCAGGGGTAGCTGGTGAGTCCCTTTTGCATACACCATCATTGTACTTGCTAGCAGGGCAGTTAGTTAAGAGTTTTTTGTATAAAGCAGACACGAACCCCACATGAGTTTCCTGCACATTGTTTTTGTAAAGTCTCATCTCACCAGGATCAGAGTGAGCTTTTCAGTGCGTAGGTAAAGGGCAATATTTTTCAGTATTTCTTAGCACATTACTGTTATATCTTCTGCTGGTAATTAGCCAACTACCCTGACATCAGCACCAAGTACATTTGGCTGGTAGTGAAGTCTTCCGAGAAGTTTAGACCCTGGACATCAGAGAGGTGAAATATTGTGAACCTCTGGACTTTGAACCTAAATTCAGTAAATCCCTGAATTATTTTTTCTTGGCATCTCTATTTGCTCACAACAGCTCCAAAATTTTACACTGTGTGCAAATCAAAGGTGGAAACATCAAGTGTAATTAAATGGGCCATTGGTCCCACCAAGGTTTGCTAGCTGGATTGCAGCAGTCTGCTACAGTCTCCAAATCTGTGTGTTAATGGATTAAGCCTGGAATCACATGAAATACAGGTTGCTTGAAGACAATAAGAAAAACAGAGACAGAGAAAGCTCTTATTTGGGGGTTTGAATTCAAGGTCAGTGTTGAATTCAAGGTTTCTTCTCTTCTGGCTCAGGGGAGATCTTTTAACAGTCTTCCAATACCTAAAGGGGCCTAGAAGAAACCTGGAGAGGGACTTTTTACAAGGGTGTGTAGTGACAGGACAAGAGGGAATAGCTTTAAACTGAAAGAGGATTGATTTAGATTAGATACTAGGATGAAATTCTTCCCTGTGAGGGAGGTGAGCCGCTGGCACAGGGTGCCCAGAGAAGCTGGGGCTGCCCCATCCCTGGCAGTGTTCAAGGCCAGCTTGGACACAGGGGCTTGGAGCAACCTGGTCTGTTGGAAGGTGTCCCTGCCCATGGCAGGGGGTTGGAACTGGATTAGGTCCTTCCCAACCCAAGCCATTCCGATTCTGTGATTTTACCCTGACCTGTTCAGAGGAGAAGCAAGAAGCAGTGTGAGGTGATAGAAGTCTACTCCAAATGGAAGGAATGAGGCTTTTTACATTTTGGAGGCTGTGAATAGGAATTGAAGTCTCCACAGGTGTCTCTCAAAGAGAAGAAGAGTAGCAAGGCTACAGGATAATAACATTTTTCCTGGTATTGTTGGCTGGTGCATCAATAATTACAGTTATTTTCTTTGTCATTGTCTTTCTGCAGCTTGCAACAGCCAGTGCCTGAGCTGTGAATCAGCCACCAGCTGTACATCTTGCAGAGATCCAGCCAAGGTCCTGTTGTTTGGAGAATGCCAGTACGAGAGCTGTGCACAGCAGTATTACCTGGATTTTTCCAGCAAGACTTGCAGAGGTGAAAAATACATTGCTGGTTTAAAGAAAAAAAACCCACAACCAACCAAAACCATTGCAAGTATCTTGTCTAAGCATCCATTAAATTGCAGCATGATCTGCGCAGGTGGCCTGCTCACTAAAAAGTGAGCGTGAGGGGGGGAGTTGTTCAGTGACAGACTTAATTGCAGGGTTTTTACTGTCTTTTCTCTTTTCTGGCAGTCTGCTGTCACATACTTCAGCTTTTCAGTGCAACCAGATTACTGCAAATCCATCTCTTGTCAATGATTTAGTAAGTGAGCCAGCAAACTTTTCAAGGGTCAGATCCAGCAATTCGTTTAGTCATGGGTCAGCTGAATAACGAGTGAGCTTAGCAGGCAGGCTTTTTTAGAGTGCTTATAGGGCCTTGTGTACTTACCTGCTTCTCTCTGACTTATTAAATACTGCATCACTGGATGTCTGCCGAAACAACAGTTTGGAATTATTTAAAAGACACATGACTTGAAAGGTTTCCAGAACTCCCAAGGAGAGTGTTCCATAATGGAAATAAGTGAGGATAAGGTGCCTTTATTGCAGCTAACACCGCTAAGACCAGGGTATAATACAGCTGACTTGTTGTTCAGTGATCATTTCTCTCTGGCTCTCTCAGTACTTGAACCTAGTTTTACTGAGTGGCACCTGTCTTCTTAACTTTGTTAAGATTCTGCAGAAAGGTGCCATCGTCTGGTATTTAGGGTGTTGGAAAGAGGCAGGACTCTTGTCCATGGGATGGAGCAGTTCACCTCACCTCAGTGAGTCCTTGTTTCCCCCGCCTTTTGCTCTTGCCCTTGCCCATTTATCTGTCTCGTCAGCCAAGTCTGTCTGTCATTAGTTGCTGATACGGACACTCTTAAGGGCCACCAAGAGCAAAGATTGGTGTTGACAGCCTGAGTAGTCCTGGGGCACATGTGCATGGCTGGGACTCTGCTGAAGACTGGAAGGAAGACAGTACAAGGACATGTGAAGGCAGATCTGATTCCCAGCTAGATCCAGGGTGATTTTGGCCAATGGACTTTCCAGAGAGACATTTAGGCTGTGAGGGGCAACAATTCCATTTTCATTTGGTTAGAGTAATTTGAAAGCATGAGACCTGATGAAGTGGGGTGGATGGTTGCTAAGGAGCAACAGCCTCTGTGCTGGCAGAAAAGGCACATTGCTACTTACAGGATAAAGTCAGGCTTTATGGGCAATGGAGATGTGCTGGTGTTAGCAGGTCTGGATGCTGAACAAGAGCCAAACTTTGTCAAATTTGATGTAGTTAGAACATGATAAGTCAGTGAGGGGAAGAAAAACTCAACCATATCTTGAGTTGTATTAAGTCACTCAGTACAAGTCGTGCTTTCTTTTTTTTTTAGTATCTCTTTAACAGTTTTTACTGTGCTTTGCTCCTAGGACTTAGTAGATTCCCACAGCTGATAGACCCCAAGCACTAAGCACTTGTGTAGGGCAAGCACCCCAGAAAGATCTGCCCTGAATTGACTTCTGTTTTCTTCCAGAGTGTGACTGGAGCTGTAATGCCTGTAAAGGTCCTCATAGGACTGACTGCCTGCAGTGTATGGAGGGCTACGTTCTCCATGAAGGAGCTTGTGTGGAACAGTGCCCTGCAGCTTTCTACAAGGAATCAGAGACATGCCAGAGTGAGTTCTTCTTCGGCGTTACTTCTGTTCGCTGCTGCCAACATATTTCCCTGCTTGTCTCCAGTTTGTGCACGTCTGACATTCAGAAGGCACGCTCTAACTTCTCATCTCTTGCTGCCCTCACACACACAGAGTACTGCCATGGTTCCTGCAGGGTGTTACAGCAAAGTGCAGGAAGCAGCTGGAAGTGGTGTTGAGCTGAACTCTTTATGTGTGACTTCTAGGGTGTGATCAACACTGCCTCCACTGTCGCCAAGCAGATGAGTGCAGCCTTTGTGAAGCCCCATTTTTCCTCTTGGACACTCATTGTGTTCCCAAATGTGGGAAACGATACTATCCAGACCATGCACAGCGCAAGTGCACAGGTAAGCATGGTCAGCATGCTGTGGTGGAGAGGGACCAGGCCTGCGCTCTATGTTCTATAAACTGCTTTTTCTCTGCAAGGCTGAGGTGAAGAAGTGCTTAGATGCTGTGTTAAAATTGCTGTTAAGGTGGTGCAGTCACCTGAGAGTTCAGTAACAGGCCATATCTGCATTTAAGCGTGCCCAATTCCAGAGGAATGAGTTTCAATGTGGGTGACTGCTGGTGTTTGTATGTGTGCACATACTATATATATAAAAAACAGGTATTAACCCCACATTTTTGTAAGGTTTCAGTTTTACCTGTGGGTTAACAAGCTGTGAAGGACCGAACTGTGTATCTGGAGTATTAATAGTGTATTGACAGTTACTTAAAAATATGTTTCTTCCATTTGGAAGATTATCTCAGGTTCTCTGTAGCTGATGGGAAACAGTGGTCAAATGAGGGAGGAATCTCTTAGCAACTCTTTTATCTCTTTGCCCCTTCTTTTTGATCACTTTTGTCAGGCAGGTAAGACACAAATAGCAGTGGTGTTCCTGTTCTGATCCCTGGGGATGGCTCTGCGTGCCAGTGGCTGCATTGTTTTTGTCAGTGTCTCAATTGTTGTGCTTTCCATCTGATTCAGCTTGTCCTCAGGGATGCTTGGAGTGTGACAGTGACAGCTTGTGCCACCTCTGTGACAGCACCACATTTCTGAAGAATAAGATCTGTGTTTCTGCCTGTGGCCAGGGTTTCTATGGCAATACATGGACCAGAGAGTGTGAAGAAGGTGAGTCTCTCATGATAAAACTTCCAGCAGATTTTAAGGCCAGAAATAGTGTCCATTCAGTGGTATTTTTGGTAGTATTTTGTGGTATTTTGTGCAGTTCCATGTTGACTATCGAACATTGGTAGCTGTTTTCCTCCAACTTTTTTGTTTCATAAAACATTGCATGTTTTCTAAGTGAAGTTACCTCATTAGGAAAGAGGCATGTCTTTCCAGTCGAGCAGCATTCATCATAAACATAAAACACATGAAAAAATAACGTTGAAGGAATCCCTTGCTAAATCAACTGTAGTACTTACTTTTCTTTGTTCTAAATGGAGATCTGCTGCTCCGTCTGCAGGGACCAGTGGGGAGCTCAAGATCGGAAGTGACTTTCCAAAGCCTCTCAAAACCATAGTGGGGATTGGGATGGACTACAATTCTTCATGAGATAGTGGTTACCAGTAATGAATCGGGCATTATAAGGGTCTGGTCTGTTATCCAAAAGATGATAGTGACAGGCAAGATGCTACCACAGTCCATGGCTGTTATTCATTCAGTAATACTTCTCCCTTCTTTCTTTTTAGCCAGCAAGCATCCCTCGAGCGTCCATGTGAACAGTAGCCTCACAGTAGGAATTGGTGGGGTAAAGCCCCTAGACCTGTCCTTACTGAGTGTGTGCGGTCTGGGTGGTGACACAGGACAGCTCTTGTTCCGTATCAACAGCACTCCCTCCAATGGCAGGCTGGTGATGGTGGTGAGGGGGGAAGAGGTGCAGCTGAGCAAAGGTGACCGCTTCAGCTGCAAGGATGTGGAGGAAAAGAGAGTTCGCTTTGTGCACAGCAAAGAGAAATCCAGGTGACTCTGTTGAAACTTTTTTCAGAGCTCTTGCCTTAAAAAAGAAATCACTTATCTTGAGAACAGGTATTTCCTTGCTCCTTGGAAACATTCTTACAGTGAAACACACTCCTCACTGTTGTCAAGTAAAGTACCAATGTACTTAGACTGTACCACAGCATAAATAATGGTGCAAAACTTCTATGTAGTATAAGAGGTCACTGTGATACAAATCTGTTGTGGTTTGGGGGTTGCAGGAGTCTGTCTCTTCTTTAGGATACTCTCCTGTGGATTTTGAACTGACATATTAGTCTGGTTGTTACAACAGTTTCTTGATGCTGTAAGGCAGATGCTCAAGTGATGTCACCTCTGTGCTCTGCAGCACAGTCTGCATTCAACCATCCTTCCTTTGCCTGCAGTATGAGCTCTGTTAGTGTCCTGTGATAATTAATGGTGATTAGTAGCTGGCATTGTTCACACTGCAAGCATGTTGCAAGGAAGCAGATTTTTCCTGGTGCCAGGCAATAAACCAGTCATCCTGCCAAATTTCACACTTAATTTGCATCACCATAAAGCCTTGGGACTAGACTCATACCAGTGGAATTGTTCTACATTTCTGCCTGTACATATTATGGTGTTCTTTGATCCACTGTTTTCAGTAAGACTTTCAGGATGTTGATGCCAAGGGTTGGCTCATGTTCGCTAGACTTAAGGCATGTGTTTCTGTACCATGCTTTTGGGTTTTTTTCTGTCTGATAGTCACAATGAAATGTCAGGATCTTGTCTTGAGAAACATAGCTATTTTACATTCAAGGTTATTGGCTGACATTATTGAAAAGTAAATAGGAAGCCAGAATGCTGAAAAATGTGAGCTTCTATTCCAAATCCAGATAAGTGACATTTTTCTTTACCAGCAAAAAGCTGACTTTTAGAATTGGTGGTTTATCTTGGAGATGCCATCCTGTGTGGGTAACATTAGTTAAAGGGAAATGAAGGTATGTTGTTGCATAGCTAAAGGTATTTTGTTACATGTTCTGACTGCTGTGAATCTTCAGGAAAAAACCCAAACTATAAAAACATAATTGAAAAAGAAAAAAAAGACAACCTTTAAACCTTCCATCACTAAGCTAGTAATTTTTACTAAATATATAATATTTTTATCATTATTGAGTCCTGCAAGAGCACTTTGTTAATTCATATTATCCTGTATTTTGGCTTGTTGTTTAGGAAAGGACAGTTTTCCTTGAAGGTCAGTGATCAACAGTTCTTCTCCCATCCTGAGGTGGTCAACATTCAAGCATTTTCAACACAGGTAATGTAACAAGCTTGGAAACAACCACAGATCTTGTACCATTTGGAGCCCTGGTTTCTTGCAGTGGTAACAAAGGAGCTGGGCAGAACCTGAGCTGGAGTTGAGGTCAGGCAAATTACGCTCAAGTTTCACTTAGTTGAGAGACAGCCAAGAGTCACGTGGAAGAACCGGGCTTGGGGTAAGTGACTCAAGAAGCTGGCCCTTGTAATTTTGCTTGTGCAGGGAATTGTAGCTGTGCAACTGTAGAGCAATTATCCGTGAGGGCTAAGGAGTCCCTGCTGCTCAAATTACTCTTTGGATCTGCAGATGGTCTGGTTCAGTCTCTTACTGCAGGGCAATTGAACCGTGATTGATCCCTGTGGTAGGGATGCTTTGACAGTCAAGAGCACTTACTTAAATGCTCCTTTCTAGAACAGTTGGGAATTAAATCAGCATGAGCTATTTAAAGTGTGTCTCTTAAACTGCTCACCGCTTCTAGGCAAGGGCAAGTTGATTGTGCTGCCAAGTGTCCATGTCCCTCACGTTAATGTCATTTAAAATCTGTAGTATGATATTGTGGAGGGGCCTCACCTAAGAGATGGTGTACAGGTGTACAGTGTACAGTGACTCCTCTAAGGCTCTCTAAAAGGCAAGGTATGAAAAGATGTGCAAGACACGCATTAAAGGAGAAGGCACAGAATTACAGAAAGGAGGAGTTGTTCAAGCCCACACTAGCTGTTGTGTGCCAGCTCAGCCTACCAGCAGGTCATATCATCCCATCCCATCCCATCCCATCCCTCTGAACGGGCATGCAAGGGCAGTGGATGTGCTGGAACTTCCTGGCCCAGCTTCATGCTTGCTGCTGGTCCTGCTGGGAACAAGTTCACCATGGACTCACTGTAATGTGGTCCAGGTTTCCAAGGAGCTTTTGCCATAGTCAAACTGTCTAGGTGAAGCTTGATCAGCTAGTGTCCTGGTTTTGGCTGGGATAGAGTTAATTTTCTTCCTAGTAACTGGTGCAATGCTGTGTTTTGGCTTTAGTCTTGAGAATAATGTTGATAACACACTGATAGTTTAATTGTTGCTGAGTGGTGCTCACCCCGATCAAGGGCTTTTCCATGTTCTGCCAGTGAGAAGGTGGACAAGAAGCTGGGAGGGAACAGCCAGGACAGCTGACCCAAATTAGCCAAAGGGGTAATTCATACCATAGAACATCAAGCTCAGATAGAAACTAGGGGGGGTGGTGTGGCCAGGAGTCCCCGGCCGCTGCTCAGGGCTGGGCTGGGCATCAGTGGGCAATTGTATTGTGCATCACTTGTCTGTCTTGGGGTTTATTCCCTTTGGGTTTTTTTTGTTATCTCCCTTTTCATCATCATTATTATTATTACATTTTGCTTTATTTCAGTATTAAACTGTTCTTAACCCATGGGTTTTACCTTTTTCCAGTTCTCCTCCCCATCCCACAGGAGCAGCTGTGTGGTACTTAGTTGCTGGCTGGGATTAAACCACGACAGATAGCTTTGCTCCAACTGCAGTTGTTGTGGCTACTTGGCATATTCTAGCAGCATAAAGAGACTTTAAAGTGCAGATGAGAGTCTGCCATTCATAAGGCCCATTTGCATCCTCAGAGAGGCATTAAGTGACTTGATAAAACTAACTGGAAATCTGGTGATCAGCCTTTCTCTTTTAGTGCAGACTCCTTCCTGCCTACAAGCCTGACTCAGCATCCATCCTCACAATGAGTAATTTAAGAAATGCAGTAGTGAATGGGTTTGTGTCTGAAGGTGCTGGTTCTGTTCTGTGCTTTTGTTGCTTTTAGTCATTATATTCCGTATTAGTCATTCCATAACTTCTGGAAATTGAAAGTGTTCTAGTTTGCCCTTTAGTGTAAGGCAAACTGTGGATTTGGATCCTGTTGTGTGTGTATTGATTCTGGCTGGTGCTGAAATCTTTGCTCAGGCTAATCGCTTGTTTACCACAGTAGGACATTCACCTGAGTAAGAGCTCCACTCACTGCCCCAGAATACATAAGTGAGGTTTAATGATGGAAATTTTGCCTACTGATCCTTAATAACCCTGATAAGTTGTACACAGGTGAGATGGCAGCAGTTAGCTCCCTGCTGAATGTTCCCAGGGCTCACCTGCCTCCTGAGGCAAGGTATTACTGGTGGCAAATGCTGTTTATTGGGATCAATAGAGACTGCAGATTTAAACTTTCTTGACAACAAAGAACTAGAGAACTGATTTAAACCAGCAGAAATGTGGGCTCTGGCTGATCTTCGTTCTGGGTTGAATAAGGCTGTGTGGAGTCTTTGAAAATAAGTAAGTAATGATGCCAATGACACCTAGTTTTGCTGTCTTTGAGATGAACTTTATCAGTTGGAGACAAGCAAAAGCACATCCTTCAACATTAGCTGATTGACTTAGAAACGTTAATGCAAGCTGCTGGCTCTCAGCTTGATTCACTGCTGTTAGCATCCTGTGTAGGTTATTCTCCCTCTCCTGGCATTCTTCCTTGCTTCCTTTTCTTTTCTCTCTGCAACTCATTTTACGCAGGTTATGTGGGGTCTTACTCCCCCATTAGTGCTCTGAAGGATGTCCAAGATACCAAAGCTGTAGGTTATATACAGGAAGAATGTGGTGTGTCTTTGTCCCCAGCCCACCCTGAAATGATTATTCACAGGCATGAATCTGCAGCATTTGAGGTGACTGCATTCCAGTTGAGCCTGTGGACATGAATGTAATGTGAAGACCTCCAAAAATAGTTGGGGTCCACGTTTCCATTTGAATTTCCATAGATGGTAGTAAGGCAAGCTGTGTCCCTTGTCTGTTACCTGTGCAGACAGCAAAGGCAATATAGGCTTTAGCTGATAACTGAACTGCTTTCTAATATAAATGTCCTATTTTTTTTCCTTTCCTAACCTTGCTGTGGCATGAGAATCTTTTAATGTAACTAGATCAGCCTAAATTGCTGGATATTCTTAGAACTGCCCGCTGCGGGGGAAGGTGTGGAGAGTGATTCTCTGCTGCTTAGGAATAGGAGGTTTTCAGGGGTGAAATGAGCAGATTTCCTTAACCCCACATTTTTCATTCCAGACTTTGTTGCAATCAAATTTATATGGTTTAGCAAACACCTCAGAGCTGCTTTTGTGTTTCAGGCCCCGTATGTGTTCAGGAATGAGGCCCTCCTTGTCCACAGAGGGGAAATTGGAACTGTAACAGAGGAGTTGCTTTGTGTGAGAGACAGCGACAATCCTCAGGACGTTGTGCTGATGGTTTTAGAGCCTCCACATCACGGGCAGCTGATCAAATCTCCTGGGTATTTGGCTTCTGCAGTTGACATGTTCCACCTGGATGACCTTGCCAGCGGACTGCTGCGTTACGCTCACGATGGCTCTGACACCCGGGATGATGCGATTATTTTGCAAGTCAGCGATGGGTACCACTTCCAGAACATCCTGTTCCACATTAAGATTGTTCCCAAGGTATGTGCTGTGACATAGAATCACAGACTGGTTTGGGTTGGAAGAGACCTTAAAGATCATCCAGTTCCAACCCTCTGCCACAGGCAGGGACACCTTCCACTAGAGCACGTTGCTCCAAGCCCCTGTGTCCAACAT